GATGTGCGTATTAGAGCTCATTCATCTATTCGTGGAGGTGTTGGATGGCTACTTCGGCAATGTATGCGAACTTGATCTGGTATTCCATTTCGATAAGGTAGCAATAGTACAGTAACCATCATCACCACTCTACCACTGTTAGGTGTATCACATACTGGACGAGTTATTACTAGATGGCGAGATAGAGGATACTAGTTCTGCAGTGGTAGTACTCCCAACTATAACTCAATCGAAGTCATCATCGTCGTGATGCAGATACTAGAAAAGCTTCGACAGTCCGATAAGCTAGATTAACAAGCAATTTTTGGTGTTGTTGGTAGTGTGGCTCTGTTACACTGCCTACACACAGTACAGTTTCATACTGCTTCTACTAATATGATATTTGCCCAGTATATTTGCCACCTATCGCGTTCATAGTACTCCCATCAACCAAACCGTCGTTATTTATCATCATGACGGGAGCATCCTTTTCTACAGCTGTATCCCCTACTCCAGCAGCATTGCAACGTTTTGTATTGCTAGCCAGCTCTACTACAGGGCAAGGCACTGTTAGGTTAATTCAAGAGGTGCTAATACTGGATTCCTTACATTACGATAGAGTCTTTGTCGAGGTACTAGCACACAAGTCAATATATGTTTTTGGGGAGTTACTCGATGTACCCTCGGTGAAGGAGGTAGTGATATGTGATGATGGTCCATAGGACCACGCCAGCTCTTCAGTTAGCTAGTAGTGATGATACTACCTCTCGAGGGTGGTATACTATATTAGAGCTATTTGCATATGGTGGCACTGTCGAGGACTATATGAACAGGGGTAATATGCGTTGATCGAGACCCTTGTGCCAACACCTCTTCTACAGACACTAGGTCCTTACCATCCCTTAGCCCACCTCAGTATAGGAAGCTACAGCTCTTAACTCTCCGATCATTGGCGGCTACAAGGTGACCTCCCTACATATCTCCACGATGAAGTTGCCATTTTGTAGTGACAACGGTGATGTGCCTTACTCGGTTGTCATCGGCGCACTACGGCTAGAGCATGACTATGAAGTAGAGGAGGCTGCTATAGAGGCCATGGACGCAGCTATACTGGTAGTAGTAGCATGATCATCATGACCGGACTCTAGTTTTCTCTAGGAGTGTACACTGGACCCATTGCACGGTACAGTACATGTGGGATGGGTAGCTGGACGGGATATCCCACCAGAGTCGATGGACGCTGTGGCAGAGGTCAGGTCATCATAGTATGAGAGGATTGTCATCAATCATTTAGACACTAGAGCGCTTCCTTGATCATTCCAAGGCTGTATCCCGGAATATTGGCAACCCTAGTGGAACGGATGATGAAGTTATCACTAAACTGGCAAAGGTAGTACCACCACTATTGATCGGATAGTAGTGACGACCTGAGAGATAGTCTTGGAGGTCTAGAACACACTCCACGTGGTTTATGGAATCACAGTAGGGTAATTGTCGCGAATAGAGCACGATAGTAAAAGCTTATCATCATCTGAGGATAGACTTGCTGACCAACGTTGACTTGATCATTGGTAGTGGCTTCAGTTAACCAAACGTTTGGAGGTTTTCAAAGGCACCATGGACGACTACAAGCACTTCATCGATGAGGCCAACACTAGCATGAAAGGTTATATTGCCCACCAGCATAGCAGCTAGAACTGAGTATATCAGGTAGCAAGGATCCTAGTCCTTCCCCTCAACCACCAGCAGCAGGAGCAGGCAGTATTACTACTACTAGTGGTGCATCTCCCCGACGCTAACTATCATGCAGATATTGAGTTTCTATCACGTGTGCGTCCATCGTGTTATCACCACTATCCCGCTTAGGATCAGTTGTTGCTATGATATACCTCCTCTCCATCGCTCTACTTATCTGCATCGATGCTGGCCCTCGGCGTAGACAGGTAACTATGGTGATGATGCCAGCAGGCCATCAAGCTCGATGGCTAATGGTCCTCACTATAGGTAACTATATGGACTGATATTGAGACCATCATTGTTAGTAGAGGCAGACTTATCCCCGATTTTAATCGGTAATATCATCCTACCGATGGTCTAGTTGTAGACCTTCAGTTCGTTATACTACTACACACTGGACTTGTGGCCTTCGGTGGAGTCGATAACGATGAGTATACAACTCAACACTAGCAAGTATGGCAGGAACACCGATTTCATAAGTCCTAACATATATATACAAGGTCACTACTACTACTAGAACTATCTACTAACACTACGATGGTTAGGTCAGGCTGTAGCTAATTATACCCCTCTAGAGCCCATACAACATGAGCTTTTGGTCAACTATACGGCAGGGGCAATTGATGAGGAGATATCAGTAGTAT